TACTTATAAATATCTAGTATTTGTTTTTGTATCATTATTTCTTGTGCATACAAAAGTACTTTCGCTCTCTTCTCTGCATTTTGTTGATATTTATTTACATTATCTATTACACCAACAGCAAAAACAACAACAAATACTAAAGTACTCAGTAATAACAGCAATCGTAAAAATAATGACAAAAACAATAATAAAAACCAATAACATTTGATGTCATTGTACTTTTACGGCGAGTATTATAGATGCGAATTGTGAGACTAAATTGTTTATTTTCTTTTTAAAAATTTTTTTATTATTATTTTTTTCATTGTTTTTGCGTAAACAAAACTTAAATTGAAATAAAACGCAACAAGTTTGTATAAGAAAAAGAAAATTAATAATTAAATAAAAAAACTTAATTTAAATTTTCGAAAATACAAGAAAATAAAAGTGAAAAAAAAAAACTGTTGCAATTGAATTTATAAAAAAAAATGCAAAAGAAATTTGGAAAATATCAAATTTATAAAGTTTTGTTTTAAAAAACTAAAAGTATTTAATTTTTCATTTAAAATAACTTCCCCAACACCCTCGTATCATTATGAATTTTATAAGAAGTGCCTCTAATTAAAATCTTTTTTGAAGTATTTGTTTTATCAGCAACTACTACTGATGTTTATAATTAGCAAAATTAATTTATTTTTAGCTTTTTAAACAAACTGTTTAAATATTTAGTTTAATTTATAAATATGAAAATTGATAACACTAGGTCATGGGATTTATGGAGAAAGTAATAAAAATATCATGTGAATTTTAAAAATAACTTAATCCGTTCCATACGTAGTAAAACATATTTAAAATTAGATTAATTTTATAGGCATTATTCATAAAATTATGATGCGCACATTAACGCAATAAAACTTTAATAAATTTTAAAAAATCTTGTTAAGTATTGCTTGTAGGAATTTATCGCTAGAGGGGAAATAAGGAAAACCCCTTGACTAGAGCTTAAGCTAGAATATGGATAATACTTAAACAAACCTATAGAATAAACTATATATATTATAGACTAGACTATAACTTACACTATAGACTAGACTATAGACTAGACTATAGACTAGACTATAGATTAGACTATAGACTAGACTATAGACTAGACTATAGACTAGACTATAGACTAGACTATAGACTAGACTATAGACTAGACTATAGACTAGACTATAGACTAGACTATAGACTAGACTATAGACTAGACTATAGACTAGACTATAGACTAGACTATAGACTAGACTATACTAGACTATAGACTAGACTATAGACTAGACTATAGACTAGACTATAGACTAGACTATAGACTAGACTATAGACTAGACTATAGACTAGACTATAGACTAGACTATAGACTAGACTATAGACTAGACTATAGACTAGACTATAAACTAGACTTAAATATAGAGTACACTATAGACTAGACTGTAGACTATAGCTAGACTAGATTATACTATATACCATACTATACTTATCTAGACTAACTCCAAAAATTTAAATTTTCACAAAAATTCTAATATTTGTTAAAATTCAACTTTTACGCAAAATTTCGCATTTTTACAAAAATTTTAATTTTTTTAAATAATTTTTCACAAAAAAAATCGTTTTTAAATAATTTACTATTTTAAAATTACACAACTTTATCTATTTCAAAATGTATCCCAATTTTGGGTGCTAAATAATTAAAATAATGCCTAAAATAGTCAATTGTTTTAAATGGGATTATTTATATGGGAAGCTCCTTAAAAATATCTTTCATTTGATATCCATATTGCCTATAATCCCTTTATTCTTTTAAGGAAATATTTAAAAATCTGCAAAAAAGGACTTTTCAGTTTGAAAATCCTTTCAATATTTTGTTTACAGTGGTTTTCTTTAGACATGTTCTTTAAGTAATTACAAATACAGCGAAAGGAAGCGAAAATTATAACAACAAAAAGTGACAGCTTTCCTTAAAAATTTTGTTTATTTAAATGTTGACGCAACATGATGTTTACTTTGCATTATTTTTTCTATCTTCGTTTTCTTCTGCATCTAACATAAATGTTATTGTCATTGCAGTTGTGATAACAACAACAACAATGTTATTATTTTAATGTAAATAAAGTTGTCTGCAATGACATGTAAATATTTGTTATTTTTCTTGTTGTTATTGTTGTTCTTACTCACCTTGCCAGTCTTGTTAAAGCCATTTTTGTTTTTTCTTTCTTATTTTAGCAGCTATTTCTTTAATAATTATTAAATTAAATACTTGTTTATTGTTGTTTAAAAATAAATTATTTATTTTTATTTAATTAAAAAACAAAAACAAACTAAAAGGCAGTGTTTGCTTGTTAAATTTTTAATTTTTAAGTTAAACTCTATTATTAAATTTGTTGCTCTTTGTGTTTGTTTGTTTATTTTCTTTTACATTTTATTTGTTTCTTATTTTTAAGGTAAAATTTCTTCTTTTTAATTTGTTTATGAAACAGTTGTTGTTGCCTTTGTTTTTTTAAATTTGTCATAGATTTTATTAGAAGATAATTCTTTTTGTTGTTGTTTTAAGATTTCTTTGTTTTTCGCACAAAACAACTGGAAGCGTCAGTCAGACCATATATTTAACTTCTGTTTTTATTGTATAAATCACTAAATAAACAAAAGAAAACTTTAAAACTCAATAGTTATTTTAACATTACAGAAAAATAAGTAAAAAAATACAAAGTAAATGTTAGAAATTGGTCGATAACTTTCCGCCGCGTTTCGAAATTAAAAGACAAAATTGCACAAAGTTTCTGAGTAGACTGGCGTTTTTCAAGCGTTTTGCTATTTACAGTTTGTTTTTGTTGTTTTTGCTTTAGCTTAATGCCGGCCAGAGATGGTTAATTTAGTGCTATTGACAAATAAAAGTACACAATTTTTTCCCCTTAATGGTGAAATTAAATAAGAAGTAAAGTATTATAAGTAAATCTAGTTCAGTTCTAGTTCAGTTCTAGGTCAGTTCTAGTTCAGTTCTAGTTCAGTTCTAGTTCAGTTCTAGTTCAGTTCTAGTTCAGTTCTAGTTCAATTCTAGTTCAGTTCTAGTTCTAGTTCAGTTCTAGTTCAGTTCTAGTTCTAGTTCTAGTTCTAGTTCAGTTCTAGTTCAGTTCTAGTTCAGTTCTAGTTCAGTTCTAGTTCAGTTCTAGTTCAGTTCTAGTTCAGTTCTAGTTCAGTTCTAGTTCAGTTCTAGTTCAGTTCTAGTTCAGTTCTAGTTCAGTTCTAGTTCAGTTCTAGTTCAGTTCTAGTTCAGTTCTAGTTCAGTTCTAGTTCAGTTCTAGTTCAGTTCTAGTTCAGTTCTAGTTCAGTTCTAGTTCAGTTCTAGTTCAGTTCTAGTTCAGTTCTAGTTCAGTTCTAGTTCAGTTCTAGTTCAGTTCTAGTTCAGTTCTAGTTCAGTTCTAGTTCAGTTCTAGTTCAGTTCTAGTTCAGTTCTAGTTCAGTTCTAGTTCAGTTCTAGTTCAGTTCTAGTTCAGTTCTAGTTCAGTTCTAGTTTCAGTTCTAGTTCAGTTCTAGTTCAGTTCTAGTTCAGTTCTAGTTCAGTTCTAGTTCAGTTCTAGTTCAGTTCTAGTTCAGTTCTAGTTCAGTTCTAGTTCAGTTCTAGTTCAGTTCTAGTTCAGTTCTAGTTCTAGTTCAGTTCTAGTTCAGTTCTAGTTCAGTTCTAGTTCAGTTCTAGTTCAGTTCTAGTTCAGTTCTAGTTCAGTTCTAGTTCAGTTCTAGTTCAGTTCTAGTTCAGTTCTAGTTCAGTTCTAGTTCAGTCTAGTTCAGTTCTAGTTCAGTTCTAGTTCAGTTCTAGTTCAGTTCTAGTTCATTTCTAGTTCAGTTCTAGTTCAGTTCTAGTTCAGTTCTAGTTCAGTTCTAGTTCATGTTCTAGTTCAGTTCTAGTTCAGTTCTAGTTCAGTTCTAGTTCAGTTCTAGTTCAGTTCTAGTTCAGTTCTAGTTCAGTTCTAGTTCAGTTCTAGTTCAGTTCTAGTTCAGTTCTAGTTCAGTTCTAGTTCAGTTCTAGTTCAGTTCTAGTTCAGTTCTAGTTCAGTTCTAGTTCAGTCTAGTTCAGTTTCTAGTTCAGTTCTAGTTCAGTTCTAGTTCAGCTTCTAGTTTCAGTTTATAGTTCAGTTCTAGTTCAGTTCCTAGTTTCAGTTCTAGTTTCAGTTCTAGTTCAGTTCTAGTTCAGTTCTAGTTCAGTTCTAGTTCAGTTCTAGTTCAGTTCTAGTTCAGTTCTAGTTCAGTTCCTAGTTCAGTTCTAGTTCTAGTTCAGTTCTAGTTCAGTTCTAGTTCAGTTCTAGTTCAGTTCTAGTTCAGTTCTAGTTCAGTTCTAGTTCAGTTCTAGTTCAGTTCTAGTTCAGTTCTAGTTCAGTTCTAGTTCAGTTCTAGTTCAGTTCTAGTTCAGTTCTAGTTCAGTTCTAGTTCTAGTTCAGTTCTAGTTCAGTTCTAGTTCAGTTCTAGTTCAGTTCTAGTTCAGTTCTAGTTCAGTTCTAGTTCAGTTCTAGTTCAGTTCTAGTTCAGTTCTAGTTCAGTTCTAGTGCAGTTCTAGTTCAGTTCCAGTTCAGTTCCAGTTCAGAACTAGTCAGGTGTAGTTCTAGTTTTGTTCTAGTTCTATTTCAGTTCTAGTTCATTTCTAGTTTGTTTCTAGTTCAGTTCTTGTTTTGTACTTTAATTTCATAAAGGTACTTTTTTACAAGAATATTTTAACATTTAAAAATTTTAATTACCCATACCTGATACCGGCTAATGTTGTGTTAATTTATAGGGTTGCCAGGACTTTAAATAAATGGGATTTTAAAAGGCATGTTTGTGGGTATAACACACCTATTTTTGTCAACAAAGATAAATCTAAATGATATGGAAATATCAAATAAGAAAAACTTGTTCAAAGGATTCAATAAAAAGTTGTTGGGGCCTTTATTGAAAAATGAAAATATAAATTTGTGCTTTTGTTAAGGGTTAAAGTTTTTGAAATATAAGTTTTAAATCAAAATAACTGAAAACTATTCAAATTTTGTTTTAACTTTCTAAAATTTTATTTTCTTATCAAAAATCTAACAAAATGTGGTCTGAACAGGCAAAATATAAAAACCATTTCCTACAAATACAATTGCAGCACTTAAAGCCAAAGCAAATTAATGAAATGGTTGATAAGGGTAAAAATTTGCACAATAATGTATAAAAAATAACTACAATTTAACTTAAATTTTCTAACAGAAATCCTTAAATGCCGACTGCATCGATGTGGATATGGTCAAGAAAAGCAATTTACCAAAGTAGGTGGCATTACCTGTAAAAGTGCTTTATATTTTGAGGATCGTGCTGAATTGGCTTATGGTTTCGGTACATTGCCCAAACTAATGCGTCAACTGGGCAGTGATGACTATTTGACCCAATGGAAGGCCATTAATTCTCTAGCTGAATATATAGAGAATCCTTTATATGCCCAAAGAGCAATAACACAATATGATATTGTGAGAAGGTAAAGGTTTTTCATGGGAAAAGTAAAAATGGTTTCTACCTATCATATTTTTCTTCCACAGATGTCAAAATGTTTTCCTACGCATACGTTTGAAGTATCGAAAGGTCAAATATCGAGAGATATACCGCTTGTTACATATTTTTTGTAAGTAGTTACTGTTTTTTATTATATTAACTTTTTTATTATATCTGTCATTTCTTTGCCCGTATGCTAATTCCAAGTTATTTGAATAATCTCATAATATTAGTTATTTGAGTTTTAACTATTGGCAACTCTAGTTTATACTCTCTCTTAAAATGAGAAAATTCCTTATCTAGATTTTTTCTCATGCTCTTTTTTTTGCATTTGTTTACATATAATGTTGCCAATTCAACTTAATGAAATCACTCCTATAAGGATAAATTAATCTCAATAATGCCATTTTTTTCTAGTTATCTTCCAGATCGTTTTCTATTTTAATTATATATGTGTTCATAGATCGTTCTATTTCATTCTAGATGTGTCCTATTTCAATTCTACTTTTGTTCTAGTTCAGTTCTAGTTGGAGTTCAGTTCCAGTTGTAGTTCAGTTCGGTCAGTTTTAGTTCTAGTTCAGTTCTAGTTCAGTTCTAGTTCAGTTCAGTTCTAGTTTAGTTCTAGTTCAGTTCTAGTTCAGTTCTAGTTCAGTTCTAGTTCAGTTCTAGTTCAGTTCTAGTTCAGTTCTAGTTCAATTCTAGTTCAATTCTAGTTCAGTTCTAGTAGTCAGTTCTAGTTCAGTTCTAGTTCTAGTTCAGTTCTAGTTCAGTTCTAGTTCAGTTCTAGTTCAGTTCTAGTTCAGTTCTAGTTCAGTTCTAGTTCAGTTCTAGTTCAGTTCTAGTTCAGTTCTAGTTCAGTTCTAGTTCAGTTCTAGTTCAGTTCTAGTTCAGTTCTAGTTCAGTTCTAGTTCAGTTCTAGTTCAGTTCTAGTTCAGTTCTAGTTCAGTTCTAGTTCAGTTCTAGTTTAGTTCTAGTTCAGTTCTACTTCAGTTCTAGTTCAGTTCTAGTTCAGTTCTAGTTCAGTTCTAGTTCAGTTCTAGTTCAGTTCTAGTTCAGTTCTAGTTCAGTTCTAGTTCAATTCTAGTTCAGTTCTAGTTCAGTTCTAGTTCAGTACTAGTTCAATTCTAGTTCAGTTCTAGTTCAGTTCTAGTTCAGTTCAAGTTCAGTTCTAGTTCAGTTCTAGTTCAGTTCTAGTTCATTTCTAGTTCAGTTCTAGTTCAATTCTAATTCAATTCTAGTTCAATTCTAGTTCAGTTTTAGTTCAGATCTAGTTCTATTCTAGTTTAGAAAAAATATATCAAAATGTAATCGATCCTTATTCCCTTTATAGATTACATAGCCATGCATAGAAATGGCGCTAAGAAAATTTTGGAAAAGCACCGTTTACTTGATCAATTCTATGCGATTATTAAAGAACGTAACAAACATCTAGAGGCATTATCGAAAATCTTACCCTTTCTTAGTCAAGATATTGAAAATTGCCTTGTACTAATCGATGATTATAAAGTTTACGATAAACTCTGTGATATTTGGCAAAGAGATCCTTGCATATCTTATTATCCTGCAGATTTGTGGCTGCATTTATCACACGTCATAGAGCAGACTCCGCAAGAAGCCATTCAAAGGGGTTTCTTTGATATTTTTTATCAACGCATAAAAGGTCAACTGTTCCAATATCATTTATGGGATATGAAATGTTTTGCCTTACTTTTACGCTGCCCCCAAGGTCAACAACTTTTTTTGCAAGTGGATGGTGTGAAATTATTGTATGGGATATTAAGCGATCAGCAGCAAAGTTTGGATTGCTATGAAAATATTGTATTTGCCCTAATGAATGGTTTATTTGCTAAGGCGGTTCTCTGGAGATGTAGGGAATTTACTGATTTACCTTTAATTTTAACTAATTTAGCAAAAGATCATGAGAAATTGAAGCAACAATTATTTTGTTTACAGGTGAGGATGATTAACGTGTTTTTTAGCTTCAAATATTGTTGTTTTTTATAATTCTTTAGACTTTACGCGAATTGGGGGTTATGCCGGTTATTAAACGTTTTATTAAAGCTAATTGTTTGGAAGATATCAAAAATCTTAATTGCAAATCCTCAATTAATGAACAGCAACGTTTGGAAATAGTTTATTGGTTGGAAAGAGAAATTTTTCATAGCAGTAATTTGAGAATGGAGTCGTTAGCTATTAATGAAATGTAAAATTTCTCAAAAATCTGTTTAGTAATAAAAAATTCTCAAAAAAAAAAAAAGAAAAACTAGAAATGAACTAGAACTGAACTAGAACTGAACTAGAACAGAACTAGAACTGAAGTAGAACTGAAGTAGAACTGAACTAGAACTGAACTAGAACTGAACTGGAACTGAACTAGAACTGAACTAGAAGTGAACTAGAATTGAACTAGAACTGAACTAGAACTGAACTAGAACTGAACTAGAACTGAACTAGAACTGAACTAGAACTGAACTAGAACTGAACTAGAACTGAACTAGAACTGAACTAGAACTGAACTAGAACTGAACTGATCTAGAACTGAACTAGAACTGAACTAGAACTGAACTGAACTGAACTAGAACTGAACTAGAACTGAACTAGAACTGAACTGAACTAGAACTGAACTAGAACTGAACTAGAACTGAACTAGAACTGAACTAGAACTGAACTAGAACTGAACTAGAACTGAACTAGAACTGAACTAGAACTGAACTAGAACTGAACTAGAACTGAACTAGAACTGAACTAGAACTGAACTAGAACTGAACTAGAACTGAACTAGAACTGAACTAGAACTGAACTAGAACAACTAACTGAACTAGAACTGAACTAGAACTGAACTAGAACTGAACTAGAACTGAACTAGAACTGAACTAGAACTGAACTAGAACTGAACTAGAACTGAACTAGAACTGAACTAGAACTGAACTAGAACTGAACTAGAACTGAACTAGAACTGAACTAGAACTGAACTAGAACTGAACTAGAACTGAACTAGAACTGAACTAGAACTGAACTAGAACTGAACTAGAACTGAACTAGAACTGAACTAGAACTGAACTAGAACTGAACTAGAACTGAACTAGAACTGAACTAGAACTAGAACTGAACTAGAACTGAACTAGAACTGAACTAGAACTGAACTAGAACTGAACTAGAACTGAACTAGAACTGAAATAGAACTGAAATAGAACTGAACTAGAACTGAACTAGAACTGAACTAGAACTGAACTAGAACTGAACTAGAACTGAACTAGAACTGAACTGAACTAGAAACTGAACTAGAACTGAACTAGAACTAGAACTGAACTAGAACTGAACTAGAACTGAACTAGAACTGAACTAGAACTGATCTAGAACTGAACTAGAACTGAACTAGAACTGAACTAGAACTGAACTAGAACTGAACTAGAACTGAACTAGAACTGAACTAGAACTGAACTAGAACTGAACTAGAACTGAACTAGAACTGAACTAGAACTGAACTAGAACTGAACTAGAACTGAACTAGAACTGAACTAGAACTGAACTAGAACTGAACTAGAACTGAACTAGAACTGAACTAGAACTGAACTAGAACTGAACTAGAACTGAACTAGAACTGATCTAGACTGAACTAGAACTAAACTAGAACTGAACTAGAACTGAACTAGAACTGAACTAGAACTGAACTAGAACTGAACTAGAACTGAACTAGAACTGAAGTAGAACTGAAGTAGAACAGAACTAGAACTGAACTAGACTGAACTAGAACTGAACTAGAACTGAGCTGAACTAGAACTGAACTAGAACTGAACTAGAACTGAGCTGAACTAGAACTGAACTAGAACTAGAACTGAACTAGAACTGAACTAGAATTGAACTAGAACTGAACTAGAACTGAACTGAAGTAGAACTGAACTAGAGCTGAACTAGAACTGAACTAGAACTGAACTAGAACTGAACTAGAACTGAACTAGAACTGAACTAGAACTGAACTAGAACTGAACTAGAAGTGAACTAGAACTGAACTAGAACTGATCTAGAACTGAACTAGAACTGAACTACAACTGAACTAGAACTGAACTAGAACTGAACTAGAACTGAACTAGAACTGAACTAGAACTGAACTAGAACTGAACTAGAACTGAACTAGAACTGAACTAGAACTGAACTAGAACTGAACTAGAACTGAACTAGAACTGAACTAGAACTGAACTAGAACTGAACTAGAACTGAACTAGAACTGAACCAGAACTGAACCAGAACTGAACTAGAACTGAACTAGAACTGAACTAGAACTGAACTAGAACTGAACTAGAACTGAACTAGAACTGAACCAGAACTGAACCAGAACTGAACTAGAACTGAACTAGAATTGAACTTAAACTGAAAATGCCTTTGATTACATTTTTTTTATATTAAAATGAAAATATCGTTTATTAGTCCATCATTAGAAAAAGTCTCTTAATACATTTGTTTTGAAGCAATCTCCATATATAAGATCACATGTTGGTAATTCATTACCTCCATTCTCAATATTTATACTAAAATTTAAAGAAAAACAAGATTATATGTATTAAATCCAACATAATATATACGCAAACTTAACTCACTCATATCTAAGTTCCTTAATCTCTCGCCTAATGTCATTGAAAATTTCGTTTATTTTCATTGTTTTAGCATGATGGCGAAATTTTTGTGAAAATACCTCCAAAAAGGGACTATCTAAATAGTTTCTTTCATATTCACAGGCTTTTAGGGTTTGCGACAAACCATAAGATAAAGTTCTTCCTAAATTAACTTTACTTTTACGTTCTTTTATCATATCGTTGATTTTATCCAGTTCTTCATCATCTATATCACGAATATCTAAAAGTTTTTGAATTACAAATAATCGCTTCACATTTGTTAAGTAGATATTGGTTTTTATTTTTGTAAGAATTTCAGATTCCAAAAGAACATTTATTTTATCGGAAGTTTGTATAAATTGTTCATAGGGACACTGATTGTCCAAAATTATAATGCATATGTAATTAAATAATTCAAAATTTGTGCGGCTAACTGGAATTGGGTAAAATTTGAATTTATTTATTTGAATGGAAAATTTAATTAAGCCCCTGTGATACTACTTACGCTGCTCAACAACATTAAGTAATGCTTTCTCCGTCAAATTATTAAATATCTGAACTTTATTTTGTTGACTTTCCATTGCCTCCTTTAAAATGTTGACTTGTCTGTCGTAATTTAAAACCCAATTAAATATGAACGTATTGCAATCGCAATTTATTGTAATTATTTCACTTTCAACTTCAACAAAATTTTCTAATGACATTTTGGGCCTGTTTTTGGTATGATAATGATCAAGCAATTGCTGATCTTCTAATAAATGGTCGCTGCTAATATGTGCTAAACAAGACATGTTGATAAAATTTTGCAAATGAACTAATCGAAACAAAATTATTAACTTCTTACTCATGCAAAAAGATCTATTCATAAAAGCTTTTTTCCAGTGTAGCCAAAGTATTGTTGTAATCATGAAATTCGGCAAATTCCCGAATTTTTGCAAAACATAAATCTTTTCAATATAATTTTATTCATAGATTTCGAAAAGAACTTGGAAACTAGTTGATAATTGAAAAAGCTTTTCCACCAGTTAGTCCAGCTCTTTAAACACAATACATATAGTATATACATATATATATATATATCGGGAAAATCCCGAATTATAAAATTTGTATGGCAATCCATTTAAAAAGATAACATTTTAAAGCTCTTTCTAATTGTTGATAAAATGAGTGCTGCCAGCTATTTCCTACAACAGAAAAGCACCTAGTGGCACCTCTATGCTTTGTTTTACTAAAGCTTTCAATAACAATAACTTTTGTGTTTGAACAAAGCTTTTCTTTAACATTAAGCTAATGTTTAAATAACAGTAATAAAAGCTTAACATTAGACACAGGGATGGAAAAGTAAAAAAAAGTGGTTTGTAGTAAGAAAGAAAAATGTGTTCATTTGAAAATATACGAATAATCGATTAAAGTTAAGCGATTAATCGAATAAAAATACATGTTTAAACATCAAAAACAAATAAATACTTTTAACGATAAGAAAAATGTAAAAAAAAAAATTATTCGATTAAAATAATTCGAATAATCGATTAAAGTTAATCGAATAAAACTATTTGTTAAAACATCAAAAACAATTAAATTTACTTCGAATCATAAGAAAATAGCGTAAAAAGTCGTTTGAATTCAACAAAATTATTCGAATAAACGAATAGAAAGGGTATCAGATTAATCGAATAAATATTTTGCAGAAATTTGTTAAAATCTATTGAATTTTTCTTTATTACTAAGAAAAATGTGTAAAAATCTATTAGATTAAAATGAATCGCATAATCGATTAAGGTTAACCGATTAAACGTTTAATATTAATCGAATAATCAATTAAAGTAATTGCAAAAACATAAAAAAACAATTACATGTTGTTTTAACTAAAAGAAAAATGTGTAAAAATTCATTCGATTAAAATTATTCGAATAATCGATTAAAGTTAGTCGATTAATAGAATAAAAATATGGGTTAAACCATAAACAAATTTTATGAATTTTATTTTAGTGTTAAGAAAATTCCCTAAAAATGGTTTTGTTAAAAATTATTCGAATTATTCGATTAAAGTTAACCGATTAATCGTTTAAATTTTTTTTAAACTCCTTAAAATAATGGAAAAATCTTTTACTAATGAACAAAATTAATAAAAATGATTTTTTTTTTGAAAATTTTACGAATAATCGAATAAATTTAATCGATTAATCGTTTAAAAAAATTTGCAAAAACTCATTAAAATAATTGAAAAGTCCTGCAATAATAATAAAAATCAATAAAAATGTATTTTTATGAAAATTATTCGAATAATCGAATAAATTTAATCGATTAATCGAATAAAAGTTTAGGGTTAACCTTTAAAAATAATTATAATTTTATATTAGTGTTCTGAAGAACACATAAAAAAGGTTTTGCATAAAATTATTCGAATAATCGAATAAAGTTAAGCATTTAATCGTTTAGAAAATCTTTTTAAAATCCGTTAAAATAGTGGAAAATCTTGCAATAATATATAAAATTAATAAAAATAAATTTTTAAAAAAATTATTCGAATAATCGTTCAAAGTTAATCGATTAATCGAATGATAAATTTTTTTTAAACCTTAAAAATAATTAAAATTTCGTTTTAGTGTTAAGAAAATGGTTTTGCAAAAAATTATTCGAATAATCGAATAAAGTTAAGCGATTAATCGTTTAGAAAATCTTTTTAAAATCTTTTTAAAATCCGTTAAAATAGTGGAAAAATCCTTCAGTAATAAGTAAAATGAGTAAAAATACATTTTTACAAAAATTATTCGAATAATCGATTAAAGTTAACCGATTAATCGAATAAAAATTTTGATTAAACCCTTAAAAATTATTAAAATTTCATATTAGTATTAAGAAAATTAAGTAAAAATGGTTTTGCAAAAAATTATTCGAATAATCGAATAAAGTTAAGCGATTAATCGTTTAGAAAAACTCTTAACAATACGTAAAAATAATGGAAAAATCTTTCAATAATAAGTAAAATTTATAAAAATAATTTTTTATAAAAATTATTCGAATAATCGTTCAAAATAAACCGAATAATCGAATAAAAATTTTGATTAAACCATTGAAAATAATAAAAATTTCATATTAGTGTTAAGAAGAACACATACAAATGGTTTTGCAAAAAATTATTCGAATAATCGAATAAAGTTAAGCGATTAATCGTTTAGAAAAAATCTTAACAATACGTACAAATAATGGAAAAATCTTTCAATAATAAGTAAAATTTATAAAAATAATTTTTTATAAAAATTATTCGAATAATCGTTCAAAATAAACCAATTAATCGAATAAAAATTTTGATTAAACCATTAAAAATAATAAAAATTTCATATTAGTATTAAGAGAAACACATAAAAATGGTTTTGGCAAAAAATTATTCGAATAATCGATTAAAGTTAAACGATTAATCGTTTAGATAATTATTTTAAAATCCGTTTAAATAATGGAAAAATCTTTCATTAATATTTAAAATTAATTTAACATTTTTTTTATAAAAATTATTCGAATAATCGATTAATGTTATCCGATTAATCGTATAAAATTTTGGCTAAACCCTTAAAAATAATTAAAATTTCATATTAGTATTAAGAAGAACACATAAAAATGGTTTTGGAAAAAAATTATTCGAATAATCGATTAAAGTTAAACGATTAATCGTTTAAAATATGTTTTTAAAATCCGTTAAAATAGTAGAAAAATCTCTTAATAATAAGTAAAATGAATAAGAATTATTTTTTATAAAAATTATACGATTAATCGGTTAAAATTATTCGATTATTCGAATAATTTTTTTTAATTCTTTAAAAATAATTAAATATTTATATTAGTAATAAGAAGAACACATAAAAATGGTTTTGCAAAAAATTATTCGAATAATCGATTAAAGTTATACGATTAATCGTTTAGAAATTCTTGAAATCCGTTAAAATAATGGAAAAATCTTTCAATCATGAGAAAAGTTAAAAAAATTTATTTTTGCAAAAATTATTCGAATAATCGATTAAAGTTAAACGATTAATCGTTCATTTTAGTTCACAAAACCCCTAAATAAATGATGTTTTAATGAAATTTACTATATTTTTTTCTTTTATTCATAAAATTTCTCCACTTTTGGCTTTATAACCGTTAATTTCTCCTCACTACCCCTTACTGTGTTTACACTAACAAACCCTTAAAAATTTTCTTTCCCCTAATTTAAAACTTTGTCCCAAACAGCTGTTTTGTTCAACAATAATGTAAACAAACTTTTTATACTTGTTTTAAAGATAGAGAGACATAGAGAGCGTTTGAAAACAAAAAGTAAACAGAGCAAATATAACAGGGAAATATAGAGAGAGTGAGTGAGTGAGAGAGTTTAGAAAAGCTTTAACCGTTACAATATGAACCGTTAATGTAAGAAGAATGTTTATTATTTATATATATGATAAGATTTTCCAGCATCAAATTTAGTTTACTGTAAACTCGCGTACGGTATGGTTTTAATTTGTTTGTGATCCTCTTACTCACACACATATATACTACATATACTCAACAAATTTAAAAGGATTACGGTTTTAATAATTGAAAATATATAGAGTAAAGGAATATAAAGAAATATAACGGTTTTGTGTGTGGGAGCGCGTTTGGGTTTGTCGGTTTGTTAATACTTTTTCACATCATTTTTAAACTAGAGAAGAGAGCTTTTCTTACGGCTACTGTTATCGTCGTTGTTGTTGTTGTCGTATTTATGATTTGTTACTTTCGTGTGCTTTGTAGTTTTTCCTTGTGTTCGTTTGTCTGTATGGGAATTTTAGCGAAACAACAACATTTATAAGAAGAATCTACATAATTTAACGGTTAGACGTGCTAATCCTTGTTGAATACTTTATGTTTGTTATAATTTTCATATCAGTTATGTTGTAACTTTCGTCGGTTAAACACGTAACGTAACGGTGGTTTGGTTATTTACGTATTAATTTAATAAAACGTAAAGCAATTGTAAATCTCTAAATAAAACGAAAATTATAAAAATAAAATGAAATAAAAAGAAATTTATAAAGTTTGAAAATATTGAAAATTTAAAAAAAAAATTTGAAAGAAAAATTATAGAAAAATAATAAAAATAAAATGAAAATTTTCTTAAAATTAAGAAAAATTTTAAAAAAGTGAATAAAAAAAGGTGCTTAAAAAGGAAATTTCAATAAACAGCCTTAAAGTGAATTTGATTTTCCTTTAATTTTATACGAAGTGGAAAAATAATCGAATAATCTAACACACTTAACCGATTAAACGTTTAAAAATATATAAAAATCCAAAATCCAAAAATTCGTTGAAAATTATTCGAATAATCGATTAAAATTATTCGATTAAACGTTAAAAAGATTCGTTTAATAATTAAACAAATTTGAAATTTATTGTGAAAAATTAAAAATATTGCAATTTTTTTGGTAAAATTTTTTAAAAATCATCGATTAATCGTTCGAAATATTACGATTAATCGTTTAAAATTATTCCAAAAATTTTGAAAAATTTTTTAATTTTCTTTTAATAATGAGAAAAATTAAAAAAATCGAGCGATTAAAAATTATTCGAATAATTGTTGAAAAATATTCGATTAATCGTTTCAAAATGTTCGTTTAACAATTAAAAAAATTGAAAAATTTAAAACAATTAAATTACTTTAGAAGTTTTTATGTAAAATATTAGTAAAATAATCGATTAATCGTTCGAATTTACACGATTAATCGTCTAAAATATTCCAAAAATTATTAAAAACAATTACAATTCTATTTAATAATAAAAAAAAAAATGGGAAAAATTTCGATTAAAATTATTCGGTTAAAATCGAATCGAATAATCGCTCAAAATTATTCGATCAATCATTTAAACAAAATCTAAAATAATCAAAAATGATCAATTTTAAAAACTTAAACAAAATCATAAACATTTTTATGAATAATTTTCACAAAGTAATCGAATAATCGTTTGAAATTGTTCGAATAATCATCTAAAATAATCCAAAAATCGTTAAAAAACAATTGAGTTTTCATTTAATAATAATTAATCATATGAACAAAATCTATAATAATCAAAAATTATCAATTTTAAAAATTGTTAACTTAAACTTAAATTATACAATTTTTATGAATAAATTATAAAAATGTAATCGAGTAATCGTTCAAAATTGTACGATTAATCGTCTGAAATATTCCAAAAATCGTCAAAAATAATTGAGTTTTCATTTAATAATACGAAAATGGGGAAAAAATGTTCGATTAAAATTACTCGAATAATCGATTAAAATAGAATCGAATAATCGCCTAAAATTATTCCATTAATCATTTAAACAAAATCTATAATAATCAAAAATAATAAATTTTAAAAATTATAAAAATTTCTAAGAATAATTTCTAAAAAGTAATCGAATAATCGTTTAAAATTGTACGAATAATCGTCTAAAATAATGCAAAAATCTTCATAAACAATAAGATCTTCATTAAATAAAAAGAAAAAGGAAAAAAAATTGTTCGATTAAAATTTTTCGAATAATCGATTAAAATTATTCGAATAATCGCTTAAAATTATTCAATTAATCATTTAAACAAAATCAATAATAATCAAAAATGATAAATTTTAAAGAATTTAAAAATTTTTTACAAATACTTTTTTAAAAAGTAATCGAATAATCTTCCGAAATAGTACGATTAATCGTTTGAAATAGTACGATTAATCGTTTAAAAATTATTCCAAAAATCGTCAAAAAACAAATGAGTTTTCTTTTACTAATAAGAAAATTAAAAACAACATTCAATTAATCGGTTAAAAGCAAACGAATAATCGCATAAAATTATTCGATTAATCGAATAATCGTTGGAAATTGTAAAATTATTCGATATATCCTTTACAATTTATTTCCAAATCGTTGATATCAATTGAATTTCTTTTCAATGTTAAGAAAGTTGTGAAAAAATTTCTAACGATTAAAATTATTCGAATAATCGGTGAAAGTTAATTAATCGATTAAAAATGTTTCGAATATTCTTAAAAACAATGAAATTATCTTTTCATTAAAATCAACTAAAGTTTCTTTCAATAATAAAAATTTTAATCTTACGATTAAAATTATCCGAATAATAAGTGACAGTTGTGCCATTAATCGTTATAAAAATACTCCAGAAATCCTAAAAAGCAATCCAATTTTTCTTTTCCCTAAATGTGCATTTCAATTCAAGTGAATTTTCATTCAATGATAAAAAGACAGTGAAAATTTTTTTATGATTAAAATTATTCGAATAATCGGCGAAAGATGTGAGATTAATCGATAAAAAATATTCAAAAACTTTTTAAAAGCAATAAAATTTTCTTTAAGAAATAAAAAAATATGCAAAAATTTGGACGATTAAAATTATTCGAATAATCGATTAATGTTATTCGATTAATCGGTTAGAAATATTTGTTTATACAACAAAAACAATTGGAGTTTCCTTTAGAAACAAGAAAACAATTGTAAAAATTTGGTTGTTTAAAATTATTCGAATAATCGATTAAAATTAATCGAATAAAAATAGTTGCAAAATCATGTAAATCAATGGCAAATTGCTTTAAAAAATTAAAAATGTATAAAAATCTTTTCATTTAAATTTATTCGTTTATTCAATTAAAATTATCCGAATAATCGATTAAAATTATCAGATTGTTCGTTAAAAATATTTCCCGAAATTGTCAAAAACATTTGAAAATGTCTTTTAATTTTTCAAATTATGTGTAAAAATTCGTTCGATTAAAATTATTCGAGTAATCGATTAAAATTATCCGAATAATCGATAAAAATTATCCAATCGTTCGTTTAAAATATTTCCAAAAATTGTCAAAAACATTTGAAATATCTTTTAATTTTTAAAATAATGTGTAAATATTCGTTTGATTAAAATTATTCGAGTAATCGATTAAAATTATACGAATAATCGATTAAAATTATCCGATTATTCGTTTAAAATATTTCCCGAAATTGTCAAAAACATTTGAAATATCTTTTCATTTTTAAAATAATGTGTAAATATTCGTTTGATTAAAATTATTCGAGTAATCGATTAAAATTATCCGAATAATCGAATAAAAAAGTTAAAAAATCTCTAAACATTGGTTATGTTTTCCTTTAGTGACTAAAAAATGTGTAAAAATACTTTCAATTAATATTATTCGAATAATCGATTAAAATTATCCGATTAATCGTATTCAGATTTTTAGTAAAAACAACAAAATTTTTTATCAAACATTTTAATTTTAGTGAAAAAAAATCATTTTTAGAGATTTAATTAAAAGTATCCGAGTAATCGCTTAAAATTATCCGATTAATCGTATACAGATTTTTTACGGAAAAATCGAAATTTAAGTAAAAATAGGAAAAAGCGTTTTCTTAAGAAGAATTTTCATAAAACTTTTTCTAAAGAAAGCAGAATATTTTCTTATAGAAATGTATCTTCTTAAGAAGAATCTTTTCCTATAGAAAAGTGTTTTCTTAAGAGGAATATTTTCCTATAGAAAAGTGTATTCTTAAGAAGAATTCCTATGGAAAATTGTATTCTTAAGAAGAATTTCTATAGAAAAGTGTCTTTTTAAGAAGAATCTTTTCTTGTGGAAAAGTGTCTTCTTCAGAGCAACATTTCCTAAAGAAAAGTGTCTTCTTAAGAAGAATCTTTTTCTATAGAAAAGTGTCTTCTTAAGAAGAATTTTTTTCTATAGAAAAGTGTCTTCTTAAGAAGAATCTTTTTCTATAGAAAAGTGTCTTCTTAAGAAGAATCTTTTTCTATAGAAAAGTGTCTTCTTAAGAAGAATCTTTTTCTATAGAAAAGTGTCTTCTTAAGAAGAATCTTTTCCTATAGGAAAGTGCCTTCTTAGAATAATCTTTTCCTATAGAAAATAGTATTCTTAAGAAAAATCGTTTGCTATAGAAAAGTGAGAAGAATATTGTCTTATAGAAAAGTGTGTTCTTTAGAACACTCTATCCTATAGAAGCTTGTATTCTTTTCTCTCTTGTTTTTATAGAAAAACGTGTTCGTTTGTAGCATAATTTAAGGTGTTTTAAAAAAATTTCAAATTTGTTGCATACTTTAAGGCTGTTTTCTCAATAACTCAACTTTATCTTTAATTTTGTTTAAAAATTATTTTCGTGTTTTTACAGATAAAAGTGCTACAAATCTAAAAAAAAATCAAGTGAAAAGTGAAAATTTTAAAGAAAATTTTAGAAAAAAATATTTTAAAGTAAAAATTCCATAAAATCACTTTGAAAAAATTGATAGTTTTATCACAGCAACAATGTTGCCTTTACCTTTAACTACAATAATGTCTACTAAAAAATCAACAAAATCTTCATTATCATCAACAACTACAACTACAAATTTATGGCCACGAAGTCAACAACAAATACAATTTAATGCCAACAAGACAGTAGCAGCACAAACAAAACATCAACAACATAATAATAACAACAATAAAAAACATGCAACAAATACAAAAAGTATAACAAAAGTTGCCACAATTGCAAATAGCAAGTGTATGAAAAATAAAAGAAATATCATAACAGCATCAGTAGCAGCAGTTGCATATAAACCCAGTAAACATCAACAGCAACATCATAGTAAACTAACTACACTTAATAACAACATTCTTATTGACAACGAAACTAGTTGTAGCAGCAACAGCACCAACAACAATAACATTAATACTTTTAGTAGTAAAAATAGTAGAATTTGTTGTAAAAATGCTATTAAACGTAAGCAGAAACGAAATAACTGTTGGTTGTTGTCATCATCAGCATCATCTGTAACATCATCAGCGACATCATACTCCTGGATATTTTGCCTTTGGTTATGGATAGCAATTTCATCATTGGCCTTTGTTCATTGTTCACCTTCACCATCTTCATCGATACAACAACTACAAAAAAGAGGTAAGTTTAATTTTTTCTTATTACTTTTTCATCTAAAAGCTTTTTTTAAAATATTTACGTAACTTATGAACTAAACTAGAGCAATATTGTTGCTTTAAACGTGAAAAAAATATTGCCTAGTTTTAGGGTGTATGATACAAAAAGAGTATATGTTACGGAGGGAAAGAATTTTTCATTACTACAAGAGAGTGGCTCCTTCTATAGACTAGACTAGAATATAGACTAAACTATAGACTAATCTAGTTATAGACTAAATATAGACAAAATTATGGACTAAAATATAGACTAAACTATAGACTAGACTAGACTATAGACTAGACTATAGACTAGACTATAGACTAGACTATAGACTAGACTATAGACTAGACTATAGACTAGGCTATAGACTAGCCTATAGACTAGAATATAGAGTAGACTATAGACTAAAATAAAGACTAGGCTATAGACTAGCCTATAGACTAGAATATAGAGTAGACTATAGACTAAAATAAAGACTAGACTGTAGACTAGACTATAGACTACACTATAGACTACACTATAGACTACACTATAGACTACACTATAGACTACACTATAGACTAGATTAGACTATAGACTAGACTATAGACTAGACTATAGACTAGACTATAGACTAGACTATAGACTAGACTAGACTATAGACTAGACTAGACTATAGACTAGACTAGACTATAGACTAGACTAGACTATAGACTAGACTAGACTATAGACTAGACTAGACTATAGACTAGACTAGACTATAGACTAGACTAGACTATAGACTAGACTAGACTATAGACTAGACTAGACTATAGACTAGACTATAGACTAGACTATAGACTAGACTATAGACTAGACTATAGACTAGACTATAGACTAGACTATAGACTATAGACTAGACTATAGACTAGACTATAGACTAGACTATAGACTAGACTATAGACTAGACTATAGACTAGACCATAGACTAGACTATAGACTAGACTATAGACTAGACTATAGACTAGACTATAGACTAGACTATAGACTAGACTATAGACTAGACTATAGACTAGACTATAGACTAGACTATAGACTAGACTATAGACTAGACTATAGACTAGACTATAGACTAGACTATAGACTAGACTATAGACTAGACTATAGACTAGACTATAGACTAGACTATAGACTAGACTATAGACTAGACTATACTAGACTATAGACTAGACTATAGACTACTATAGACTATAGACTAGACTATAGACTAGACTATAGACTAGACTATAGACTAGACTATAGACTAGACTATAGACTAGACTATAGACTAGACTATAGACTAGACTATAGACTAGACTATAGACTAGACTATAGACTAGACTATAGACTAGACTATAGACTAGACTATAGACTAGACTATAGACTAGACTATAGACTAGACTATAGACTAGACTATAGACTAGACTATAGACTAGACTATAGACTAGACTATAGACTAGACTATAGACTAGACTATAGACTAGACTATAGACTAGACTATAGACTAGACTATAGACTAGACTATAGACTAGACTATAGACTAGACTATAGACTAGACTATAGACTAGACTATAGACTAGACTATAGACTAGACTATAGACTAGACTATAGACTAGACTATAGACTAGACTATAGACTAGACTATAGACTAGACTATAGACTAGACTATAGACTAGACTATAGACTAGACTATAGACTAGACTATAGACTAGACTATAGACTAGACTATAGACTAGACTATAGACTAGACTATAGACTAGACTATAGACTAGACTATAGACTAGACTATAGACTAGACTATAGACTAGACTATAGACTAGACTATAGACTAGACTATAGACTAGACTATAGACTAGACTATAGACTAGAGATAGACTAGACTATAGACTAGACTATAGACTAGACTATAGACTAGACTATAGACTAGACTATAGACTAGACTATAGACTAGACTATAGACTAGACTATAGACTAGACTATAGACTAGACTATAGACTAGACTATAGACTAGACTATAGACTAGACTATAGACTAGACTATAGACTAGACTATAGACTAGACTATAGACTAGACTATAGACTAGACTATAGACTAGACTATAGACTAGACTATAGACTAGACTATAGGTTAGACTATAGACTAGACTATAGACTAGACTATAGACTAGACTATAGACTAGACTATAGACTAGACTATAGACTAGACTATAGACTAGACTATAGACTAGAGACTAGACTAGACTAGACTAGACTATAGGTTAGACTATAGACTAGATTATAGACTAGACTATAGACCAGACTATAGACCAGACTATAGACTAGACTATAGACTAGGCTATAGACTAGACTATAGATTAGACTATAGACTAGACTATAGACTAGACTATAGACTAGATTATAGGCTAGATTATAGGCTAGGCTATAGACTAGACTATAGGGTAGACTATAGGCTAGACTATAGGCTAGACTATAGACTAGACTATAGACTAGACTATAGACTAGACTTAAATATGCTTCAGATTTAGTATTATATTTATAAAATTGCTTTAGCCCAAAACTATGTTTTAATGTGTTTTATTAAAAGAAATACAAACATATTTTTAATTATAAAACATCCTAAGCCTAAAGCTATGCTACAATACTAAACATACAAATCAAAGAGTTATTAAAAATTTAAAGAATAACAATGAAAAATTGTGCCGAATAATTGTTAAATAAAAAATTATTTAAAACCCTTACCAGCTAAAGTTAGTTGCAAAGTTTTTAAAGCCTACTTTTAGGCAATTTTTAAAAATGACACAATAAGCCTACTTTTGTCATAAATCTCCGCAATTAAATTTGCTTAAATTTGTTTTATTCTATATTAATATTCCATAAACAATTGCGGTTTTAGTGTAGTATAATTTAAATTACTAATAATTACTAATCTCTATTTAAAACACTAATGAAATCTCAACAAATTGTTTACAAAACAAAAAACAAATATCAATGTTCAAATAGACATAAATATATAATTTTTAATTGTATAAAATTTTTCACGCTCTATTATTGTAAAAATATCATTTTGGTACTTAACAAAAAAATTACATTTATTATTTGATTTAATTTAATTTAATTTATTTACATATGTAGTTTTCATTTCTATATATATTTAATAATATTTGTAGCAAATAACAACAACTATTCCACACACATACATACATATATAATTTATTTTAATTTTATTCATTGTTAAGTATTAATTTTAAACTAATTAAATTAGTTATTTGCATAAAAGCCAGTGATGAAAAAAATCTACAATTTTTTTCCATAATCTAATTACAAAAATATAAACACAATTTGTTAAGCAAGAGAAGGCGCAACAAAAACTACAAATATTTAATAATAATTTAAATTTTTGAAATTATTGTGTAAATGGCAATTTTTGTTACCAAACCAAACAATTTAAATTAACAGAACGCCTAAAAGTGGACAAACAATATACATACATATGTATGTATAAAAAGTACTGCATAACTTAGTGGGTGGAATATTTTATGCATGTGAATTAAAGTACATATTTAGTTTAAAATAATGGAATATTATGTATCATATTAAATTAATAATATTTATTTAAAATTTGCATACACCAAAGGGATATTTGACAAATAGAAAAACAAAATTAACAAAAAATTTCTATATACCAAACTAGAGAATTGATTGTACTAAAAACTAAACTGTAGAGTATAGGCTAGACAATAGACACAACTGTAGACGGGACCTTTAGATCAGACTAAAGACTAGACTTTAGACCAGACTAAAGACTAGACTTAAGACCTGACTAAAGACTAGACTATAGACCTGACTAAAGACTAGACTATAGACCAGATTATAGATTATATTATAGAATATACTAGAACTACAACATAACTAGAACAGAACTAGAACAGAACTAGAACAGAACTAGAACTAGAACAGAACTAGAACAGAACTAGAACTAGAACAGAACTAGAACAGAACTAGAACAGAACTAGAACTAGAACAGAACTAGAACAGAACTAGAACAGAACTAGAACAGAACTAGAACAGAACTAGAACAGAACTGGAACAGAACTAGAACAGAACTAGAACAGAACTAGAACAGAACTAGAACAGAACTATAACAGAACTATAACAGAACTAGAACAGAACTAGAACAGAACTAGAACAGAACTAGAACAGTACTAGAACAGAACTAGAACAGAACTAGAACAGAACTAGAACAGAACTAGAACAGAACTAGAACAGAACTAGAACAGAACTAGAACAGAACTAGAACAGAACTAGAACAGAACTAGAACAGAACTAGAACAGAACAGAACTAGAACAGAACTAGAAACAGAACTAAACAGAAATAAACAGAACTAAAACAGAACTAGAACAAAACTAAACAGAACTAAAACAGAACTAAAACAGAACTAGAACAGAACTAGAACAGAAACTAGAACAGAACTAGAACAGAACTAGAACAGAACTAGAACAGAAACTAGAACAGAACTAGAACAGAACTAGAACAGAACTAGAAACAGAACTAGAACAGAACTAGAACAGAACTAGAACAGAACTAGAACAGAACTAGAACAGAACTAGAACAGAACTAGAACAGAACTAGAACAGAAACTAGACAGAACTAGAACAGAACTAGAACAGAACTAGAACAGAACTAGAACAGAACTAGAACAGAACAGACGTAGAACAGAACTAGAACACTGAACAGAACTAGAAACAGACTAGAACAGAACTAGAACAGAACTAGAACAGAACTAGAACAGACACTAGACAGAACTAGAAACAGAACTAGAACAGAACTAGAACAGAAACTAGAAAAACTAGAACAGAAATAGAACAGAACTAGAACAGAACTAGAACAGAACTAGAACAGACTAGAAACAGAACTAGAACCGAACTAGAACAGAACTAGTACAGAACTAGAACAGAACTAAAACAGAACTAGAACGAACTAGAACC